GAGAGAGAGCATCGTCATTTGAAAAATTAGACGAGTAATTATGATGAATGAAAAAATGACAACTTGGTATTATAAGTACCAAAAATTGAAAGAATTTACATTGATTGCATCATAACTCAACTGAGAGAACCTAGAAATTATACTCCTTTCATCCCAGTTTATATGATATTCTATTTTTATAGTCAGTGCCAAAGAGAATAATACCTTTTTATATTTGGTAATATTTCAACTATAAATTTTCCTTTTTACCCTTAATTAGATGATCAAAAAATGGCATCGAGGCCACTTAAACGTGCACTCATTTGTCAACATGCTAAACAAACTTATAAGTTTTCCATTTTAACACCGTTACTTGAGAAAATGATTACTAATAATTTCTTTTAATCGTTCACTATGCCTATGTAAAAATGGTGTAGCTGACATGGCCACATTGAGTGAAAATCATGTTGTTAAAGCGCGTAGATATGATTGTTTTTATTTAAAAAAATTACATTTAAAAAAAATATAAATGAAAAAGAAAAAAAGACTTATCCCTCTCCCCTTCTCTTTTCCCCTCCCCTCCCACCCTTCTCTCGTCTTCCCCAGCAAATTCCCCACCCCCTTTCTGTATTTTTTATTTCCTATTCTATTTCCCATCACCCTCCCTTTCTTCATTTCTTTTCCCCCTCCCTCTTTCTATTCCAATATTATTTTCATTCATTTGTTAGTCTCCACCCACCTTTCATGTCCCAACTTCTCTCAACTCCTCTATAACCAACACCTTCCCCCCATATCGTTGCCATCAACTTCCCCTTTCTCTTCTTCTTTCTTTTCCTTTTCTTCTTTTTCTTCCAAAGCATACCTAGTTAGTTGGTTGCCGCTAACGGATTGTAGGTAAGAATTTATAAAAGTTAGGCGGCTTTGATAGTAGAACAAGAAAATAAAGTGAAATTTATTGCCTTAAATGTAATTTATTGGTGGCATTTGGTGAAAATAATTTTGAAATGAATGTTTGTTAGGTTTTTTTGGGTGAAATAGTAACAACCTTTTATTGCAAAACAAAAGGGAGGGGGTAGACGGGTTTCGGTGGTCGTAAATATGATTTGAAAATGAAGCTTTCAAGCAAGTGGAAGAAGATGATAATGGTTAATGGCTGAAGCTTGGTGTTGTCGTTGGTGGACAATTGGCGGAGCTACGGTCGAGAAAAAGAGAAAGAAATAAATTAAAATTTGAATAAATTGATTATTTTTTTTCAAAATGTGGGACCCAAAAATTCCACATTTTATATAATAAAGATCAAGTATGTGACATGACATTCGTGTCAAAGCGATTGACAAGCACGTTCAATACGAAGTGCTTATTAGTAGTCTTTTTCTTAAGTAGTGTTAGAATGAGAAAATTATAAGTTTGTTTACCGGATTGACAAATGGATACAAGTTTATGTGGTTCCGAGACCATTTTGCCTTAGATGATTTCTAACCACATAAGTTTGTATAGTTTGATTTAGATAACAAGTTTCAAAAGTCTTCCTTTATTTCTTAAACTCCATGCCCAGTCAAACACCTTTACCTAAATTAGGACGGAAGGAGTATAACTTATGTGAGGAAAATAAATGATATTTTAGATTATCAGATATAGTTACGTGACTAACTAATGAATTGAGAAAAATAATTCAGTAAAAACGTAAAATAAGACTGGAAAAAAACTAATTCGGTTATACTAATTATGGGAAGAAATTAATTTATTAAACATTAATATGAAAACAAAGAAATAAATTTATCAATAATAAAAAATAAGTGTTTAAATTATATAAGTACTACATATAAAAAATAGTAATTTTGGGGCCCTTAAATACTTGGGGCCTAAAGCAAGTGCTTGCTTTAGGGTCTAACCGGCGTTCGATTTTCATCGTGTGGATTACATTATTAGAAGAAAACCTCATTGACTGAGTATTTACTTTAGCTGGCCATATTCAATATTTGCTTTTTTAACCGGTATATACTTACTATACATAGTTATATATATATTAGACATAAATTGTATATATATTATATATTCGTCGACTATTTTTAATTTAAGCGATTAGATGGGCAGCTATTTGGATTAATTCTTAAAAATAAGGAATTTTTACCTCCTATAACAAATGTTGATACCTTATTTATTTTAAATAAATACCCTTTTAAAAAAGTATATTCCATAGCTACCATTTGATTTTTATAGCTAAATATCTATTTATGGTCACCTCCTACCTATAATCCATAAAATACGCTTTGTATTATTTTTCTCTCTCATTCTTTCAAATTTTTCTTCACCCTCTCTCTCTCAACACCAGTTCTCACACAACAGAAGATTGAAACAGAATCTGCCATGGAAGAAATCGAAGAAACACCAAAAAGTTCATCGCTATTTCCCGTTTACCCCCAATCTACACTAATTGGGATGATCAAAGTAGTACAACATTAATTTCTGAGACCAAGTCCATTGCGTGCAAACCAAGTCCAAGTTTAGGGTGGGGGATGTCATTCAACAACTTTGACAAGTTTTTTAAAGAGTTGCCTCATGTGGACGACCTTGTTTGCCTTTATGCAGATGAATATCGTTCTAATTAGGAATTTTTACCTTGAACAACGACGACAGAGTTTGGGACTGAGCAACTTGAAGAGTCTGTTACTTTTTTTTTCCGTTGTATTTCAATGTATCTCGCTGTATTCCATATATTTCATTGTATTCACTGTCTCGCTATATTCCATCAATGTATTCATATATTTTTTTTAATTAATATAATTTATGTATTTTATGTATTCAGATTTATAATTGTGTTGGTTGAGTTATATTAGGAGTCTAGTGTGTTAATTGATTCACTTTCCGTTTAAAAATAACTGAATAGATCATGAATTGTGCTATTTACGTTACTGTATTCACAAATACATATCATGAATACAGTCGAATACAATAATCTGTCTAGCTGTAATCCCCTGTTTTACGCCGTGAATACAGTCGAATACAGTCGAATACAATAATGTGTCTAGCTGTAATCCTCTGTTTCACGCCGAGAAATGCTATTATATTCATGAATACAGTAGATTGAATACATCGAATACACTATAAAAACCCTGAAAAACATAGCTATAGGAAGTAATATAATAAGTGGTAGCTACAACTAGCTAATAACCACTAAAACATAATGGTTTCCGAAAGTTTCTCAAAAATTAATAGTGATATGGAAGTGTCTTATTTGTGCGTTAGGCAGGGGCATTTGCATCTATACCCGCTTTTTGGGTCACATTTTAACTTATGCTCGCTTTGCAAAAAAAATTACAAGCGTACCCACTTTTTCGCGTAACTTTAGCATACGGGGCTGAAGTAGCAAGAGTGCTGAACCAAGTGTGCTGAAGTATTTGTTTGTAATTGCTGAAGTTTTTGTTTTTGTAATTGGCGAACTTCAACTCTAGAGCTGAAGTTTTTGTTTTGTAACTGGCGAACTTCAGCTCTAGAGCTGAAGTTTTTGTTTTGTAACTGGCGAACTTCAGCTCTAGAACTGAAGTTTTTGTTTGTAACTGGCAAACTTCAGCTCTAGAACTGAAGTATTTGTTTTTATAACTGGCGAACTTCAGCTCTAGAGCTGAAGTTTTTGTTTTGTAATTGGCGAACTTCAGCTCTAGAGTCTTCTTCCCTTCATAATGATACTGTCACGAAAACATGAAAATAGTTGTTTTACTGTCGCATAAAGCATTCAATAGCAAGGATACCTCATCTTATAACTCTCTAATCGGACCAATTATTTAGATGATTAGTTCAACAACTAAACCATCCAAAGGAACTGTTAATCGATACTTGATAAAGCAAGAAGCTTTTTAACAATTTACATAAACCAATATGCTGCTACTAATGCCATGCATTATCAAATAGGATCTGTAGCTTCGTCATTTAACAGATCATCTATTGCCACCATTCAATCAAGCAAGGACCTTTAGTCACGGACTTCAGAAAGAGGTTGAGGTCGGATATAACTTTGAGGAGGAGAAGGAGGAGGAGAAATGAGACTGAAGTTGTTTAAAAAGTAGGTACAAATTAAAAGCTTTTAAAAAAAAGGTATAGGTTAAATGAGGACGATCAAATAGGGCGCCCCGTACAATTTTTACCTATAGGCCTTAACAGTTTGGACATCCCAAATACTAGTCCGGTGGAGTAGCTGAGTTCTCACCTGAACTAATAAGCCCAGATGAGAGTTACGAGAAGCCTTCAGAATTTTATGGAAAACTTTAATTTGTGTCTCATACAATTAATACTACTTGTATGAGGCAATTTTTATCGCATAATTTTATGGACCCAAATTTCTATGGACCCAAAAGATAAGATTGAGATCCATAAATTTGTGAGACAAAGAGAAGCCTTATACAAATAGTGTGATTTGTCCAACACACAAAATAAAACTTCTCAAATTTTATCATTTCTTGGCAGGCAAAGTCAGTGAATTGGATAAGAACAATGACGTGTAAGGCAAACACGCAATGGATTGAAACTAGACTAGATTCACGTGCTGTGTCACGTTGCATTAGATTATACGATGTATGCGCCCTCTCTCTATTGGTTTTACTTTTAATAAACTTACGCCTCGCAATAAACCATAATTATTGTACAAAAAAGAAATATCGTAGCTGTAGTTTCTGTTAATGAAAATAAAAAATAAGTACTCCCCTTATTTTAATTTATGTAAACTTATTTCTCTTTTAGTCCGTGTTAAAAATAATGGTCCCTTTATTTATCTAAAAATAATTTACTATTATATAATGATTTTTATTTATATAAAATATTTGCATCTCATTCTACATAATTAATTTAAAGTTTTTTTTTCATAAATTTTATTCAGTCAAATGGATTTAAATAAACTAAAATGGAGGAACTATAATTAATGGATTATCCCATCTTATCTTGCTAAATAAGTGGGCAATGGAAACCAGGTGCGCACAACCTACAAACCAAAGCCATATTATATACTGCAAACCCACTCTTTCTTATCCAACAAATTCACCATTCCCAATCTTCTTCATTTGGTTTTGTGTATCAGCAATGGCGATTTCAACCCTAAATCCTAACGCTCCTATCTTCATTCCTACAGAATATCGTGAAGTGGAGGACTTTTCTGACCAGTGGTGGGACCTCGTCCACTCTTCTCCCTGGTTCCGTCATTACTGGCTTCGTGAATGCTTCTCCGACCCCGACTCTACTGATGACACTACCTATGTGCCTTTTCTCCCTGATATTGATTTTATCTCCAACGATTTCAAGCGTAAGTATCATCAATTTACTAACACAGTGCTTTTTTTACTAACTTAAATAATTGTAAGTAATTTATTATGTTTTATGTGATTAGAAGAGGAGAATAAGAACGAGCTGATCACTTTGGGGATGTTGAAATGGAACAAATCACGTGTTGCTGCTGAAATCCCAAGGTATGGGAAGAAGGTGCCGAAAATCGTGAACGTGAAAGTGAGCCCTAGGCCTATTCAGCAGCCAAGGTAGA